AACATTAGGGCGCCAAAGGGCATAGGGTCAGGGTCTGTGAATATTCAGCGTACATGTCCTTCCCAGCATGAGCTGGCTATTACAGCTTTTGAGGGAGAAACAAAACATGCATTAAAGAATTTACTTCTAGGCCTGATTTCCCCTGGGAACTGCCAGATCCAGTTTAGGACTGTCTCCAGCATTGTTTCAAGCCTGAGCCAGGTGGGGGGAAGGGCAAGACAACCAGGAAATAGGGAGATTTCTTTGAGATAAAATGAGGACCCTGGCTATATCCAAGCTGAGCCCGAGGGGGGCAGGTCTTTTTGCCCTTTCTCTGTGTCCATGTTTTTTCCCCCAATGCCCATGTGGCTGTGCTTGTCTTAGGTTGTCCCTTCCATTGGGGATCTTACTCATCATTGACTACAAGCCATCCTCCAGGGCCAAGAAGAGTGATGTGAGGGAGGCAGGGGCACAGCCCCTGCCAGGGGGACAGGTTTTATCTCCTCAGTGACCTGTTTTCCCAAGGGTGCCTTGATTAGTTCCAGCCTTGGTGCCCTCTCGCCTGTTGACGGGGCTACACTTCCTGAAACCAGGCAGGGTGTTTCCCAAGAAGGACACAGAAGAATAAATTGCTGAACTAGTAGCTTTTCTGCTACTACTAGGTCCTGGGCTCCTTCTGTAATGCTATGGCAGTTACAAGTCTTCACTGCATGTTTCAATTCTGATCCCATTTCTGGTTTTATCACATCTTCCTGACCTGTTCCAGTTACTTCACCTACTTGTTATCTGATCATATTGCAAATATTTTTGTAAGCTTGCTCAAACTAATTTTCAGTGCCCCAGGACATAAACTGATGAAAACTTCAATACCCACAAAATAGAAATTGTTTCAATGTTTTATATTCTCTTCCATTCTGGACCTTAGGAAACCATATCATTATCCAACTATGATGTTGGATATATCTAATTTTGTACATTGTTAGTTTCATTGAATGCTCCATCAGAGACTGTATATATATAATCTTGTATATTGTTAGTTTCACTGAATGTTCCATCAGAGACATATTTCTGTATTGCTATAGTCTTCTCGGTGATGCTTTCACATGACTGTGTTTTTTCCTGTAAGAAAATGTGGTCATTCCCATACTACTGGACATTTAGACTGATTCTTCACTGTTTTCCACAAAGGCTAGTGGACTTTGAGGCTCCCATGGGACTTCTTACTATCCCAGGTCTTCCCACTGGAACCTCTTTAACAACCTTCATGCCTTGTTCTCTCCATTCTAGGAGCATAGATATTAATGTGTATTTTTTTTATTGAGGTAACGATTTATAACATTAAGTTTCAGGTGTACAACATAATTTGATATCTGTCCAACTGTAACACGCTCACCACCAAGCCTAGTTCATTTGGAGTTATTTACTCAGCTAATTACAGGTCTTTTCCATTTTCACCATCTCAGGATCTAGCCTTTGATACATTCCCTGGGCCTTTGTTATGTAAACCACCTTAAATCCTGTTTGGGAACACAGTGTGATATAGATAGAATGAATAGACTTCCTAGGAGGACAAGGATTCTGTTTACAAATGATACTGAGACAGGCTGTGCTTCTCTTGTATGGATGGGAATTTCCCTTAGTTAGGTCTTGAGCCTCTCCCAGATTAGGTTCCCCTCCAGTACTCCTCAAACCAATGCTTCTGCACCTGCACCAGTCAATGCCAGTCCACAGCAGGAACCTGGAGAACAGATATCCACTGTGTGCCTACTGGAAAAAAACCCCTGTACTATATGAGCTGGATGCCAGAAGCAGTTTGGGGAGCCATACTGTCTACAATTGCGTGCTCCCTTGATGCATCATGCTCTCTCCCTGTCTCTTTTCCTCTCACCTTGTTTTTAGTAAACCTTTTCTCTTCTGAATTGGGTTGGCTGCCTCTCTTGATTTCTATCCTGAGGGGGGAGGATGGGCAAGAACCCCTCCACAGGAGACAGTACAGCACCAATATGAATAACTAGTGACTGTCTGCTTATGACAATTGAGTGCTTTAATTTATCAGGCCCTGGTGTAAACAAGTTGTATAGTTTCAACTCAAGGCCTTGGAAAAGGGGTCTCTCTCTCTTATGTAGCTGCTGAAAGAGGGAATGGGTTCAGGATAAACGGTTTTGAAGGAGGCACCCTAGGAATATGAGCCACATGAATCTAGGTTTGAGTCCCAGTTTTGTTCTTACTGAATGTGAGACTTTGGACAAGTTGTTTATCTTCTATGAGCCACAGTTTTTACAACCTGACCTTCTTTAGTTGGTGGTTTAAGAATTAAATAAGACCCATTATATTATGAGTGTTTAGGAAAAATTATTATTGGGATAGTTTCTTTGAAATAACAATTTCAAAGCTTTAACTACAAGATGATGGTGGACCATATGTGGTCATAAGGCACAAAACAATGAAACAACTGAAGTGATCAGAGTTTTTCCACTGAGGGGTTTTTTACTTCTCCCATTGTGATTTCAAAATCAGGAAGGAAACCAGGCCTCTAACTATGGATACAGCCTGCAGCTATGAGTTTAAAATGAATGACTGGAGTGTTTCCCTGGGTAAAATATGTATTTTTCTGTATCTTACTTTCTCTTCTGGAGAATATTGATTCATGGAAAAGTAATAGTTTTTGGAAAACCCTCTAGATAGAGACTATGTTTATAGCCATGCTTATGTTGTTCTAGGAAATGGAAGTGCTCATAACTCATTACTGTTGTCCTGCTTTCAGTGGTATTTACACACTGTTGAAATGTTTATGTGTTCATGTCACAAAGACGTTCAGGAGAGTAAAAGCCAATTTCACTGAGGTCTAATTTGAAGTAAGCTAGCACATCAGCAGGACACATTGCAGGTGGACTTTGATTCAGAGAAGATCATTCGCCCACTAGTTTGCAGATTGGCCTGAAGAATCAAAGCAAATGATGCAGAATCCCAGGGACTCCTCTGCTGCTAAGTGAGGCTTCATCAGGAATGGTTCCTGCTCCCTGGCTGCATATTGATTCAGGCTTGCCCCACCACAAAAGCATATACTAGAGGAAAAGCATCAATTACTAACCCAGGGAAAACATTCATTCTCCTTAAGGATTTAGAAATCATAGTACTTATTCCAAAGCAAGGATAGTGGAAAATATTTAATAGTAGATTAAGTTGCTTTAAGAATTAATATTCTGGTGTAAAGTACAACACAAGCCACACACACAATGCTTGCCAGACAATAGACTCTGTGAATAACAATGAACTCAGTGAATGGAGAAAGGAGGGGAGGAAGGGAACAGAGAAGAAGGAAATTAGCAGAAAACTAGGACTTACTATATTGGGCTATGATTTACAGTTTGAATGACCCTAGACAAGTCTCTTAACCTGAGCCTCAGTTTCTCATCTAGTCAGCAGAAGCAATGTCCACCTTACTGCTTTGTTGTAAGAAAGAAATGGAATAACAAAATTAGAGAGATACAGGGTTAAAAACACCTGACAGTCATAAGACCTGTAGATCAGGCTCAACACAATAAAGTTCATCAAATGTTTACTGAGTACTTACTCTTTGCCTGGCATTGCACCCCCAGGTGCTGAAATTGGACAAGAGAAAGATAAGACAGCCTCACATGTCCCTGAGATAGGGTAGGTGGGATGCAGGCAGACCCAGGTTCTGAATTGCAGCACTTTTATTTTATCTTTTCCATATATTCATCATAGGTCCCCCAAACTCCATGCGGGTTGAGGTGCCCCAGTCATTGTCCTCAAGAAATTCATAGTCTATTAGAGAAGACAAACTTGTAAACCAAAAATTCTAAAGCAACATGCTAAATGCAACATTGGTGTTAGTCAGAATGCGTATGGAGGAAATAAGGAGGGTCTGATGAACCGTGGTGAGGGAGTTAGGAAAAGGGTCCTAAGGGATTATGTCTGTTTAAATTGTAGAAAATAAACAGGAGTTCCTACAGAAAGAAAAAGCTGAGAAGGGCATTTCAGATTAACAGGAAGCATCACACACACAGCCAAATAAACAGGAAACTGCAAGTTCCAGGTCCTGCCATTAACTAGCTTAATTTGGTAGGGAGAAGGCAGAGACAAATGTATTTGAAAAAAATAAAATAAAAACAAACAAACAAAAAAAAACCCTAGCTTAATTTAACCTTTATGGAATTTCCTCAGGTTCCTCTGGACTTTGTTTTCTCATCTTACAAGATAAAAGTTGGGGTTGGAAAGAGGCAACTGAGATTTCCAGTAAGGTGCTTTCTAACTGGATGCCTCTCTGCTGGAGCAGAGAGAAAAGGGCTAGCTTTGGAAATACCAAGTTTTATTTTTAGGGCATAAGCCAGAAGCCCCATCTTTTGTAACATCAAGATGACAGGCAGAGCCTGTAGTCAGTCATTCAGAAAATTTTGTTTACATTACTTCACCCACCTCACCACTATTTATGGCATTGTCCGAGCCAGGCCCTATGCTATTAAGGAAGCCATCCTCCAATAGAGGGAGACATGTAAATAACTAATAGACGAATGCCATGGAAACCATATTGGTCTATACACTGCAGGTGCGTGGGGACAGCCGAATACACGTTCCCAGCGCGTGTAAGTCACGTTCAGGGTGACAGAATTTAGCTCCTAGCAAAAAGGAATTTCCTGTTTCCTTATCCTGCTTCACATTCTCCAAAAAGTTGCCATCATTTTTCAGCTGTCAATGGTCCCTTGGCGGGGCGATGAGGCGCCCTCGGTTCACAAACAAACTTTCACAGGCCTCTGTGAAGAGCTCCGGGCACGCAGAGCGGATGCAGACCCCAGACACCAGAGGGTGCCTGCTCCCGCCACAGGTTCGCTCCTGCAAGAGCAAACGCGGCAGGGCCGCCCTGCGTCTCCGGGAACTGGGGCGGGGGAGGCGGGCGGGCAGTTCAGAGCCTCCGGGAGTTGGGTTCCCAGCCAGGAGGCGGGACTCTGCCTACTGGTATAAGAGCCGAGCTTCGCCACTGTCCTGGTCACAGTGCTGAACCTGGCGCTTCAGCCATTACCTGGAGGCAACGGGCACTGAACTTGCAATTCTTGACCCACAGTGACCGAGGAAGAGCAAAAGGTCTGATTTCTGGTTTGTCGTTTATTTAGTTTGCTGTACCAAAGAATAGAAGGCGGGGAGGGTCTGTGGGTGCGCGGGAACTCCGCTCAGATTGGCCGGGGTGGTAGGCGCATTGGTATCCCGGAGATCCGGGGCGAGGGGGTCCAGCTGTCTCCAGGGTCCCCAAGTGCCCAAACTCAGCAGGCTTCTCTCTCCCGCAGGAGCTGTTCTTCCCGCCACTCACAGCCACTGACTGCTGAGGATGCGGCTCCTAGGAAAACTCCGCGCCTCCGCCGCGGGCAGCGCAGCTATAGAGCCGGCCTTCTCCAACGTGCTCACCCCCGGCCGCATCCCGGAGTTCTGCATCCCGCCGCGGCTGCCCGTGCCCTGCGCGCCCGATTCCCCGCCCCCGGCCGCGGCTGTGCCCCGGCGGTGTGCGGCTGAGCCCGACCTGTGGCCCCGAGTAATCGACGACGGCGCAGGGCGCACGGACTGGGACCCACGCTCGCAGGCCGCGCTCTCGCTGCCTCACCTGCCCCGCGGGCGCACCGCCTACGGCTTCTGCGCGTTGCTGGAGAGCCCGCACACCCGCCGCAAGGAGTCGCTCTTCCTCGGGGACTCCAGGGCCGCCTCGCTCATGCAGCGGCCAGCCGCCCGGCCCGCGCTCCGCCCGCGCGCCCACACCTTTGGCGGCTGCGGAGGAGAAGACGCCCCGCTCGGTCCCTCTTCCGGAGCCCCCGCCTCCGCAGACTCTGAAGACCCCAACCCGCCCCGGAACACACTCGCTCCGCGTCCCCGCGGCCACCGCCTCCTGCGCGCCTCCGAGGGACTTCTGAACCGCGCGCTGAGGGCCCGGAGGAGTCGCGGCCTGGCGCGCGCCCGCTCTGTGTCCAGCGGGGACGAGGACGAGGAGCGCGGCACCAGCTCGGGGTCGCCGGCCCAGACCTTCTCCACGTCCCCTCTGTCGTCTTCCGGCCCGCGGCTCGATCGCCTGGAAGCCGAAGGCACCGTGACTCTGGGTTGCGCCAGCGGCGCCCTGCGTCCGGCCACCGAGTACAGACCGGCCAACGGACGCCTCCGCCTCCGGCTGCGCCGGCGGCTGCCTCGTCAGCCTGGGCCTGCAGCCGCCCGGCAAGACGCGCCAGCGGCGCAGCGCCGTGATGCGCCGGAGTCGCAAGGCCGTCTTCGACCAGGACGTTTGCTTCGACGGACTCTCGGAGGACGAAGTGCGCCTCCAGGCCGTGCGCGTCAAGGCTGAGAACTAGGGCCGCGGCCAGGAGCGGGCCGCCTGGGTGGCGAGGACGAGCTGCTGCTGGGCTCCCTCCTGTTGTCCTGTGGGCGCCCAGGCCTCAGGTCCTACCCGCGTGGTGCTTTCCGCCCGCTCGTGACTCTTGGACACTGACAGCTGCTTTGTACAAAATAAATGTTTATTTATTCATTTTTCTACTTATGATCTTGCTTTATTGACATTTTATTTCTTAGATGTCTGCTTTTGTCATTGTTTATTTGTAGGGAAGGAAAAAATACTGACTCCCGCCTCTATTCACAACATCCAGCCCTCCTTTCCAGGAACTATACCATCTGCTCCCTGGTTTGTATCAATGCCAAATGGTTTATGGGTTTAAAAAGGAAAGTTATCCCTTCAGAATCATGCCCAACGATAAGATTCATGTGTAGTTTTACGTATTTGTTGTGGCATAGGTTCATATCTTCATTCCTGCACGCACACCCACCAAGCGGAAGACCTATAAGGATACTTTATTGGGAAAATAATTCCTTTACCATTAAGAAACAACAGGATTCTTTTAAAAGTAAAGCCTTCAAACAATGCTGAGAAAAACGAAAAGGAAGTGGAGTATCTTCCAATGAATGATCATGTAGGGAGGAGATATTCCTGGCATCCCCCTCTTCCTCCTCCAGCAGGAGCCCTGGGAAATGCTCTTCCGGAACAGAAATCTTTTCTGCCTCTGTAAACAAGTTGATATTTTTGTGGCCTTATTTCCATCTAGCAGTGTATCTAAATCACATAGTAATGAATGGCTTTGCTCTAGCATTTCCCAGATGAGCTGAAAAGTTAACGGTTTTTTGAACACTGAGTTCTAAGTGAGTTTTTTAATTCAGTTTATTTTCATTTGTGGATTCAACAAATAGACTTGGGTCCACTAGAAACTGATTACACCTAAGAGGGTATGAGAGATGCCCTTGACTGGACGGCATTTATGTAGGGTGTGGTGGAAAGCACAATGGGCGTATGTGGGTAGGTGGGGAGTCACAGGCTCCAGTCTTCTGCCACTTAACTGCTTCTCTGAACTAGGGTAAATCAGTTAATCTCCCTGAACCTCACTTCCTACATCAGTGAAATGGGAGTATTAACACTTACCACACAGGATATTGTAAAAATATGCCTTAATATTTAATAACCCTAAATACATATAAAAATATGACAGTATACCTCAAAAGGCTTGAACTGTACTGGTAAAAAGGTGCTCAATTATGTTCCAGAAAATGAACTCCTTCATTTCCAATAGTTTCTTCCTGTTCCTGCAGGGGATCCTAGCAGAGTGGACGGCTCCCTGAGACTGAAGTTTCAGGTGGCCAGGAGTAAGAATGGATCTCTGTAGGATCCTGCTGGTAGATGTTCCCCTACACAATAATTTGCACTTATTCTGCATCAGAAAGGGCTTCAACATTTTTATTACTGGAATGAGATTCTCGGTATAAATTTAGTCAGAACAAACAAATAAAAATCCTGGATTTTAAACTCAATTTCAAAGTAAACAAATTAGCTCTTAGAAATCTAATTAAACGGCTTCTAAAATTGAGAAAATCCTGCAGAGGTGACTTGTCCAAAGCCGTATAGCTAGTAACCAGCTGAGCTCAAACAAGAACCAGTTGTCCTGACTTCTCTAGAGGACTGGCTTATCCTTTGTTCTCTCATTCAACAAGAGTTACTTGTTGAGCCCTTACTCTGAGACAGGCACAGCACCAAGCCTGGGGAATGCAGCTATGAACAAGACAGACAAAGTTCCTGTTTTCCCAGGACATCATTTTAGTGGGGATAGTGAAACAATAGCCACATTTTGTTATTGCAGATTGTGGTAACTATCATGATGACAATAAACTAAGAAGGGTAATAGAGTCTCTGGGCAGAGCAAGTGGCAGGTGGGATGCTCTCAGAGATAAGAAAAGATCTCCCTAAGACCCGAGGAAGGACTCATCCTCAAGAGGAACTTCATCTATCCCAATTTAATGTATCCAGCCACTTAATGTATCCAGATGACCCCTTAATACAATCCAACCAGAATTCTTGATTCGCCCCTCCCAAATCTCCTCTTCTGTTGGTCTTCCTTGTTTATGTAAATGACACCACCATCCCTCCTTTCATGCAAATCAAGAACCTGGAATCATCCTTAACTTCTCTCTCAGGTATTCCACTTGTCTCAGATGTAAATGTCACCTCCTTAGAGCCTACTCTTTGGCCATCCTATCTAAAAACAACATCATTGTCACTATCAATGCTTTATTCTTCTCCATAGCACTTATTACCTGATGTTATATTATACACTTATTTTGTTGTTTTGGTGTTGTTTATTTTCTCTTTCACAAGAATGTGTACTTTATAAAAAATAAAAGCAGGAACTTTGTTTATTTCTAGTGCCTAGAACAGAGTCTGGCATATAGTAGGCGCTCAATAAATATTGATTATTGAATGAGGATAAGAAGAGATGAAATAAAGAGTGAAGAGTAGAGGACCTAGGACCAAGCCATGAGACAAACCAATATTTAGAAATTCAATAGAGGAGGAAAAAATCAAAGTAGGAGGAGAAGCAGCAGCCAGTGAGGCAAAGGGAAGACCAGGGGAGTGTGGAGACATGGAAGCCAAGAAAAATAAGAGCTCAGAAATGCCCATTGGCCTTGGCAAGATAAAATTTAGCAGTGAACTTATAAATAACAGTTCTATGAGAGTAGTGACAACAGGAGCCAGACTAGAATGAGTTAAAATGTGAATGGAAGGTGAGAAAGTACAGACAGGAAATTTTGAAAAGGGGAGGAGAGTAGAAGCTGTAGCTGGAAGAGAACACTGAGTCAAAGAGATTTATTTTGTTTTACTATAAAAGAATATAACGCATGTTTGGAATATCCAGTACGGAGGGCGATATTAATTAATAGTGAAGAGGAAGAAAACCAGCAGTAACATAGGAGCAGTCTCTGGAAAACCAAGAGAGAGTCCAGAACACACATGGGCAGAAGCACTGATCTAGAACGCATGCTCCTGATCCATATCTTTTTCCATTTCTCTACTCTGCCATCATTCTACCCTGGGGCAGTTCCCCCTCGTAGTTCTACGATGTTGGCCAACAGCAGCTCTGACTATCTCATGTTTTCTTATTAGAGTCCAGGTTGGAGAGAAGGCCTCGTTTCTGCAAGCACTTACTTAAGTCTAAGGAAGAACTTACTTAAAAGTCTCCAGCAAGGGGGGACTCTATACGCAGTAGTCCCCCCTTATCCATGGTTTAGCTTCCCATGGTTTTGCTTTCTGTGCTTTCAGTTTCCCATGGTCAATCACAGTCTGAAAATATTAGAAGAAAAGTTTCAGAAATACACAGTTCATAAGTTTTAAATTGCATACAGTTCTGAGTGGCAAGCATGATAAAATCTCCCACTGTCCTGCTGCATCCTGTCCAGGACTTAAAATCATCTCTTTGTCCAGGACTTAAAGCATCTACATGATGTATGTACTACCTTCCCAGTAGACACTTGGTAACTCTCTTCGTCATCAGATCCACTGTCACAGTATCCAAGTACTTGTGTTCGAGTAACCCTTATTTTACTTAATAATGGCCCCAAAGACCAGAATAGAGATGCTGGCAATTTGGATATGCCAAAGAGATGCTTACAAGGTGATACCCCACAAAGTCAGTACTTCCTTTAGGTAAAAAGGAATGCATGTATAGGAAAAAAAACGTGGTATAAATAGGTTTCGATCCTATCCACAGTTTCAGACTTCTACTGGGGGTCTTGCAACATATCTCTTTGCAGATAAGGGGAGTTTGGCTGTGTTTCATTGGCCCAAATTGTGTTGCAATCCCAATCACGAACCATTCCCTGCAAAGGGAACAGTGTTAGTCTTACAGTTATGGGGACTATCTCTAGCCTAATGCAAGATCAGTGTGTACTGAGGTGGATGGTTCTTCCTGTTAGGAAATAAGAAAGGGGAAGTGAGGTGGAGTATTAGAAAGAGTAGGAAGTCTGAGGTCAGGAGGACCTAGCTTCAAATCTAGACTCTTCTACCAGGTGTGATTCTTGGGCAAATGCTTAACTTCTTTGAACTTCAGTTTTGCCTTTTCTTTTTTTTAAATTATAGTTTATCAATTATGCTGTTACAGTTGTCCTGATTTTCTCCCTTTGCCTCACCTCGGAGACCCAGCACCCCCCACTCCCTCAGGCAATCCCCCCACCGTTGTTCATGCCCATGGGTCATGCGTATAAATTCTTTGGCTACTCTGTTTCCTATACTGTACTTTACATCCCCAAGGCTATTCTGTAACTACCTATTTGTACTTCTTAATCCCTTCACCTCTTTACCTTGTCTCCCACTCCTCCCTTCCATCTGGCAACCATCTGGTTAACTAACTTCTTTTCTCTTGCTGCTTTTAAGAGGCTCTCTTTATGTTTAACCTTTGGCCCTTTAATAGTGATGTGCCTTGGAGTGGGCCTCTTTGCACCCATCATAACTGGGACTCTCTGTAGTACCTGGACTTGCATGTCTATTTCCATCACCAAATTAGGGAAATTTTCTTTCATTGTTTTTCCAGATAGATTTCCAATTTCTTGCTCTTTCTCTTCTCCTTCTGGCACCCCTTTAATGCCAATGTTGGACCTCTTGAAGTTGCCTCATAGACTGTTTATACTATCCTCATTTTTTTTGGATTCTTTTTTCTTCTTGTTGTTCTGTGTGGTTGCTTTTTGCTTTCTTATGTTCTAAATCATTGATTAATTCTAGACTTCATCCACTCTACTGTTGTTTCCCTGTCAATCGTTCTTTATTTCAAGTAGTGTATCCTTAATTTCTGATCGGGTCTTTTTTATGCTGTTGAGGTCCTCACTTAGATCCTCGAGCATCCTTATAACCAGTATATTGAACTCTGCATCTGATAGATTGCTTATCTCCATTTCATTTGGCTCTTTTTCTGGAGTTTTGATCTGTTCTCTCATTTGGGCCATGTTTCTTTGTTTCCTCATTTTGACACCCTGTTTCTATGTATTAGGTAGAGCTGCTTTAATTCTGTGTCTTGGTAGTGTGGCCTAATGTAGTAGGTGTCCTGTAGGGTACAGTAGCACAGCCGCTCCCTTCACCCAAGTTGGGTACTTGACATGCGCAATTCATGCGGGCTGAGTACA